AAAAGGAAAGAAAGAGGGCAATAACCAGTATAAAATATCATTTTAAGGACAGAAAAACTTTCTGCGATGCATTAGAGGGAACGGGAAGAAAGGCAAGCATGAAAGCTATAGACAGACAATTGCTTTTCCATAAAGAACCTTTATGTTCTCACAGTAATACTGGTCTGGGACTAAATCCCATCCCAATCCCATTAGGATTTGGGCCTGGAAGAATTATTGCATGCAGTCATGGCAGTACCAATTTAAAAAACACTAGGCAACAGAAGTTGCATGTAATGCCTTCTACAAAAGGATTCAGATCACAAGAAAAATACTTACAAAGGTAAGACCCTCTTTCCAAAGTTTTCAGTTCATAGTTCTTGTAAGCATCCTCAAATACTCTCAAGTTCTTCTATTGCAAGAAGATTGCAGACAATATATCTCAATTGCCATTCCAGTCTTCAGCAGCCTCATTTTTCTTGACAATCTTTATCCGACATGAAACGATGAAGTGCTGTGACAGTGTTCATTTTCTGCCCTTGGCTTCCTACAACCTCCTCATTTTCTCTTGATCCAATACTGCTAGCAGTCTCAAAGTGATTTCACACAGACATTCCACTTAGCAATGGCCTGACATGCATCTTTACTATGATGGTGTTTCTCTTGAGCTTTCATGTTTCTGGATGGTAAAGAAATCCAGACGCTCTGTGGTTCCATATATACACAAAAGGCCCAGTGAATTACTGAAATGCAGATGTAGCACTGAAATGTCAGACGTAGTGAAGTGTAGCTAACTCCAAGAACAAGAAACCACAAGCAATTGCGCAGCACAACTTAGTATTCAGAAACAACGTAGATCAACAAAGTACTCATGTAAAAGGAAGGTGCATAAAGCATAAACATGTGCAACAACTTCAAATAGGACTTGTAATCCAGTGCAAAATTTCCTTGTCTGCATAGAGTAAGTGAACAATGTGCAGTCACATGGTATATCTTATCTCATTAGCAAAAACAGCTCTGGAATTGCATCCACATGGACGAGATTAATCTCTACAGAAAGTAATGTGTGACAGAGAGACGGAGCTTTCAGGAAAACTGCCTTGACATAATTAGCATTGTTCTGACAACATACACTCAAACACTCATGTCATGTAAGAGGTTAGAAAGAAGCACAAAATAGTTTTCCCGTACCACTAGTGTTGAAATTCCAAAGATGATGTTACATTATGGCAGAATAAACAGATAATTTTCATAGGGAGAAAAAAAGTTGAGATTGATATACACAGTCAGCTGGTATAAAAAAACCCCAATGTTTAATTTCCTCCTCCTAATTTAGACTAGAAATCTTGTATTCCAGCAGGGACTGGTTCCTACCCTCTCTGAAATTTCTTTAATTGCCGTTGTGCCTCTCCTGGCTTGGTTTCACTACCAAGTTTTATCTTGCTGAAAATGTTACAGTACTCTGCTTTTATAGCAGAGTGGGGAACTAATGAGACATGACCAAATTACACTTTCATCATACTTACACTGCTGGAAAAGTTGAAAGAATGCTCTCAACATTTAACATATTCAATTCCTACATTCAGTTACTCAACCTATTTTAAATCTGTGAATCTTGGTGCTAAAATTAGGTACTTTAATCCATACTAAGCATCAAAACTTCTGACTTCAGCCCTTATAAAAGGACTCAAACCTTCTTCTTTGGCATTCAGATTTGAATGCAAGAATTGTTACTAGGCACGTAAGTTATCCATACAGGTCATATGTATCTTAAGAAGTTCTTACTTTTTTGATGTCTTTAGCAGAGCAGAAAGATGTCCAACACTACAATAAATGTCACATACTTGATGTGCAAGTTTAAGGATTAAAGGCTCTCTCAATTGCCTTAAAGACAAACATGGCTTTCCTCACACCAAAGTAATTCACAAAACTGCAACTGTGTGTAAACACGATCAGATATACCATCAGAAGAACTAATCATCACAGTCTTACTATTAATGGCATTGTTAATAATAATTTATTACGTAGTGAGGTGGGTGTAGGTCTCTTTTCTCAAACAAAAAGTGACAAACCAACAGGAAATGACTATATGTTGTGCCACGGGAGGTTTAAATTAGGTATTAGGAAAAATTTCTTCACTGAAAGGATTATCAGGCACTGGAACAGGCTGTCCAGGGAAGTGGTTGAGTCACCATCCCCGTAGGTATTTTAAAAGATGTGCAGATGTGATACTTAGGAACGTGGTTTAGTGGTAGACTTGGCACTGTGCTAAACAATGGCTTTAAACTGGAAAAGGGTAGATTCAGGTTAGACATTAGGAGAAAATTCCTCACTATGAGGGTGGTGAGACACTGAAACAAGATTGTCCATGGAAGCTGTGGATGAGCCCTCCCTGGAAGTGTCAAAGAGCAGGCTGGACAGGGCTTTGAGCAGACTGGTCTAGTGAGAGGTGTCCATGTCAGTGCAAAAGGGTTGGATATAGATGATCTTTAAGGTCCCCTCCAACTTTGACCCTTCTGTGATTCTATGATTAATAGTTGGGCATGAAGGTCTTAAAGGCTTTTTCCAACCAAAATAATTCTATAACTCTAGGATTAATCTTCAGTAATTCCTTAAGATCTCCTTTTTGGTTTAGGCATAGAAAGAACTTAAAGACTTTCACTTTCGTTGGCGTGAATTAAAATTCAAGTGACTTAAAACTGCACACGAAGGTTTTAGTTTTGAAGAAAAAGACAACAAACAATACTTAAAATAAAACAATAAATAAAGCAGCTTAAGGTACAAACCAATGCTCACTTAAAATCAGAGGAAGAAAACAGAAAATCTAGAGCAGAAGACCTGAGATAAATATGTTACTGGAGTAAATATTAAATACATGAATAGCTTAAATATTTTGCTAGGAAACATCTGCATTAAGTTCTATCTAAACCATTTGAGCATGACTCAGTCTTAGTTTTGAATCCTTAATATAATCTTATTAAAAACTCAGGATTTTTTTAGATACTTCATAAATTTTATGATGCTGTTTCAAGTTTAAGTAAAATGAACACTCATTCATTCAAACTTATATTTAAATTATGCTAAGTGATGCATTCATTAGAAAAATCAAATAAAAAAAGCTTTTTAAAGACAAAGCTTGAGAAATTTTATATGCCACAAGGGAAAATAAACTGTTGTTACCACTTAGCCAGGACCTTTCTATATTGAAAAAAATAGCTTCCTTTCAGTATTTTTCTTACTATATCAATATTTGCCTTTTAGTAGTCTTTTAGAACATAGTTTTCTGAGTTTCATATATTTTTATTGGCAAAATACCTTTTACGGTTGTTAGGTTTTGAGTTTTGTCATCCTTCACTGGACACTTACTGGAATAGCTATGCTCTCTGACACAAAAATACTGACAAACTGACGAATACATTAGCAATCACCAGAGTCTCCAAAAGTAAATTGGTGGTAAAGACAAACTTATTTACTATATTAATTAAATGGTCTATTTAACATGGAATATCAATTCTCTAATCACATCTCGTTTAAACTTCTTACTTCAATTAACAACCCTAAAGTCTACTGGAGACCCTACTGTTCTAGGATCATTAAGAACATTTTCATTATCTGTCAAATGAGGGAGTAAAAGGCAGAAACTGCAAATACTCTCAGGAGTGGGCCTCTACCCCACTTAAGAGATGATTAGGGAGAAAGCAGCAGCAGTTCTCATTAGTTGCTTAGCAATGAAATGTCCCCCTACCAAACAAGAAATGAACAAAGCAACAGAGGTGTTGCCATGCAAATGAGTAAATTGATAATTTATCATCCACTCAAGGATGATCTGTCCTTCATTAAATCTAATCAATCTGGATTACACCACCAATGGTTATCTTGCACAACGAAGGGAGGAAGAAGACAGACTCAAAGAAGCCAGTGTTCTTCAATTATAAATATAAGCATTGTGCATTTTCATTGTATATGTGTATGACACATAGAAATAAGGAAAACAGGTTAATTTAAAACAGATTAACATTGCCCTTTCTACTATTTAATCTTATCTTTTACATGCATAGTAATGTCCAAATTACTAATTAATTATAGTTAGCAATTAGCCATACTCTTAATGTTGGTAAAGACTTATATACCAATCTATAACTTTAAAATATGAATGATGTTCTAGTAAGATATGAGCATTTAATCAGTATCAAAGTCTGCCAAATAAAGAAGTTTTCAAGAAGTATACTCACATACAGTGCCACAAACTCAGATATGCAACTGTTTACACTGTGTTGTTACTAGCATTGTGAGCCCCAGAAAAGCAGAGATGTTAACTGGAGAAATTTAATTTCTGCTGCCTTTATTTTCAAATCCTAATTCCAGGCTGCCATTCTTTCAGCCACAGATACAGTATAAGAAATTCCCTTTAATTTCCTCTCTATTTATTTAAAAGGTTGCCTTGTTTCCTGGGTTGGTTCTTCTTGTTTTGGTACTGTCTGGTTTTGTGTTGTTTTGTTTTCGGTTTTTTTTAAACACCGGCTCACTTCGTATGAACAAATGAAAGTTTTCACCAAACGAAGTAAATTAGAAGAGAGTGAGAAAGGGAGAACAAAACCACCTATGCAGAAAAATTCATCAGGAGTGGTGAACACTTCTTAACTAGAAATCAAGATGAAAGTAAATGCTAGATTGTGCTTCTTTTCCCTGCTTTCAGATCTGACAAATGAGAACAGTCTCCTACTTCTACAGAGGATTTTTTTGTTGAGTTTTAGAAGGGGGTGGGGTAAAATTGTTTGGTAGTTTCATGTAAAATTTCATGTAAAAAACTGAAGGATTTCTAAACTTCACTGAATAGTACACAAAATCTGATTGCTTCTTAGTATATATTTGAGGATAACTACACAGACTTATAATTACAAAAAAATTATAAAATTCATTTATCAAATAAAGCTTTTATTAGCTACTGAAATTGTTATTCAGAATAAAACAAAAATGCTGTTCCAAGACCAGTACCAGTTAATAATTAAGACAAATCTTACCTATATATTCACAAATGAAGACTACAAAAAAAGGAGTGACAAGATCATTTATGCCCTGAACATATCCACTGGCTGGATGACGTATTGCCCAGATAAACAAAATTCTTTCAAAAATCTGAAAAATAATTAAAGACACTATTAGATAATTTTAAGTTATGAGCACATGTTAAACAAGGCACTTGAAAATTATACCAGAGCAAATTTATAATATCACAGTTACTAGTATAAAAAAACATACATACAAAAGCATAAATGAACACTGGTATTCATTATTAGCTTCCAGTGCTAAGCAAGCTTCTCAGTTCTTTAAAAAGAAGCATTTTCAGGGTATATAATTCAGTTACAGTAGTTACAACACAATAGCACTATTCACTGGAGCATTTCCAATAATATAAAATTCCTCTTTCCTCAAGAGACAGAAATATAAATAATCTTCCTATGATTTTTCACCTCTTTGAAAGAAGCATTTTATCAATAGAGTATTCTATTCACTCCTAAATAACAGAAAGAAGTACTTCATATAGCTCAGAGTTTTTAATAGCATGCCCATAAAGAGATTCTGCAATAGTTGGCTAATATTGCAGTGTAAGGTTTTATACTTCAGGAGCATGTATAATTGTTAATTAAAAAAAAATTTTAAAAATCAAGAAACGTAGAAATAAGGCAACTGCCTGCTATACCACATAACCTCACCCCCTCAACTCCATAAACCATACCTTGCTTAGGACCTGTAAAAGCTCTTATGGCTACACCATATCTGATCAAGGGAAGGACAGTGAAAGAGTAGAACTGAGCAAGGAAATCACACAACTTATCTCTAAGAATTTAGAACTGTGGCAAGTTTTATTTCCTCTCAATTGCTTCTGAATGTGCTACTTGTCTTTAAAATGCTGTAAATGAGCGGCAGAGTGAGAGCCACTATGTGCTTTTCCCTAATTACATGCACTCAATCACATACAGTATTCTGAAGCAAAAGAACCCTTTGTTCCTTCTCTGGAAGGTGTGCCCAAGAAGCCAGAATGCAGAGGCAGGTAAGGAGAGGTGATAAAGGAGAGCTCAAACCAAAGGACTGTGTCACTGTGACTAATAAAAAAGGGACAGACTTTGGAAGGATCCAAGAAGATTGTGTAGTTTGCTACAACTCCAAAAGTCAATGAATGCTCAGGCTTCAAGAAAGCCCATAAAAGACCTGCCCTAAAAAGACACAATAGGGAGAGGAAGTTCAGTTTATGAAGCCTTTAATATTTTTACTCAAACCCACTTGAAGTTTTTGCTAGATTAAGGTGACTATTCTAATTATTTTTCAAATAAATTGTTTAGTTTGAGAGTCTTTTTGTAGCTATCTTCAAGGAAAGGTGTAGACATAGACGACTTGCATCCAAGTGCTTGAGAACCCCATCACTGGCTTCCACAAGAGCTATCTGAAGCTGAAACACATTTGCACATTTTGCTTTGAAAACAAGTCTCAAATATCAACATCTACTCTACTCCAAGGCTTTCTTTTGAGAGTCAACTTCCCTTAATCTCCAGGCTTTATGCATCCCTGGCATGTTAAAAATCCATAGAACATGGGAGGCTGTAAACAACAATAAATACAGAAAGTTTTGGTGGACACTGAAACACAAGCCTTAACGCAGCTCAAGTCTGAGTCATTAACAGCTACTATTAAAATTCAGATTTTGCTCAATGTGATTTTAGTTTTGGGGCAAAGATTAGGCAAAAAGGGAGATAATAATTTAGCAAGTTCTCCATAAAAGCCTCTTGTTTTCACTAGCCAATGACTGTAAATTCTTCTTGATGCCAGATGTGTTACTTCATGTGTTTTAATAACCACTGCTTGTTAAACTGAAAAAAATACCAACCTCAGGCCATCAAGCAAGAGCCAGTAGGTTTTCACTGTCTGTCAACAACTGTATAAATATCTTAAGTCTCTCATTTACAGCTTGCTTTTACATTTTACATTATTATACCTTTAGGAAATTACAGTCATGTCCTAAGTTTAGTATTACTGGAAAACCTATCCAGGTTAGCTAGCTCACAGCCATCCTTCCTGCTTCTGTCAGTTGCTACTTCTAGTTTCAGTAACAACAGCTGTGCACTAGTATCATTCTGTATTTCACACCAAAAAAATGACAGGTTTATTATACTAAAAATACAAATAACTTTCTTGAAAACAAATATCAGACAGAGGTGACTAAAAAAGTCTATTTAAAAAGCAATTGCTGACTCTGAAATAGCGCTATGCACTAGGCTGAACAAAAAGATCCTTGTGTAATGTGGTTAAAAAATATGTACACAGTGAGAAAAAAATACAGTAATTCAAGAAGTAGCAACTATCAAAATACCCATTATAAAAACTGTAAAAAAGTGCTTTTCATGAAGGTGTATCTCAAGTCAAATAACTCTTCATCCTAACAATCCTTCCCTTTCCTCAGACCTGGAAAATATGCATATCTTGCTTTGCAAATTGAGATGCCTATGGATTTCAAATACTTTTTAAATCCAGATATGAAAATCAAGATGGGGGGTGTTTGACTGTGGGTTTTTGAGGGGTTTGCAGATCTTTATAACATTAACGAGCAGCAAGGATCATTCAGCAATTGGCACACCAGCTTTAATTTCCCCAAATGCATCTAATCAGAGATTCAAAAAATACACACTGACAGAGTTTTCTATTTCCTACCCATTTTCATGAAGTTTCATTTACAGTTCTGAATTGAAAAAAAATAAGCACTGAATACCTGAAAGGCAGATTTAAGTTCCTATGCAGATCTCATCACTGTGTTCAAATAGGACTCACTAAAAAGGACACTTCCCCAAATTGTTTCCTTCTTGATTTCCAAACCAGCAACAGAAACTGGAATTACTTTTCTACTATGAACCACTGCATCTCATGAGATTTCATTACCAATCAATTATTTTCCTTTGAATCCAACTCTCATTCATGACAACAGTAAGAACTATATTCATATACATAATGAGAAGAATCCATTAGCTTAAAATGCAGATTTTAAATTTCTTATGGGTTTTACCATCTCAGAGGAACTCCAAAACCCTCAAATCTTTAATCATAAGAACTTCTGAAACTTTGCTTTTTGCCTCTAACTGAAAAATAAAAGTGGAGACAATCATTTTTCCATCCATTTCCTTACTACTCACTAAGGAAGAAAAAAAGAGTAGGAAAGATGGACGGGACTGAGTATGGACTGGGAGGTTTTAATGGGTTTTGTTTGCTTGTTTTAGGGGTGAGGGGTACATTTTTGGTTATGCTGGTTTTGTGCTTAGTTTTGTGTTGGTTTTATTTTTTAAAGAAAGTAGCAGCACTTTAACTGTTCAATGCCTTGACAACATTGTGGAGATGTCCATCTATTTATGTGGTTCCATTACATGGCTTAATGTACTCAACACTAAACGAAGGTTGTATGTGTACGAGCAGGAAGCAGGGATATTAGGCTGCATCCAACAGACTAAATTTAAGGAGTAACTCTGTTACTTGCAAGAGCAATTTCAGTTTCTAAAAAACGGGGATTTAAAATATGTTTATTTTGAGTGTTTAAGATGCACATATCCAATGAAGCATTAGAAAAATATACCATTGGACAAGTTTAACAAATAACTACAAATAAAACAATTCTCTCTTTATCAAAAATACATTTGCAAATGAGATCTTAGAAAACCACATTAAATGAATATGCTACCTGAGCAATGTTGTTATCTGCAAAAACAGAATTAAAAGGGAAAAAAAGCTAAATAATTTCACATTTAATTGATCCCACAAAAATAACTGAAACTGCATTCCAGACTCAAACTTTACAGAATGTTTGCTACTGAAGTTCTGTTGACATATCAGATTTTGCTTCACAAGACCTTACCTAGATACAGTGTTTGCCTTTTATTTATTTACTTGCAAGCAATAACAATGTAAGTTCTTCTTATTGAAGCATCTACCAGTTCTGAAGTTGACTGCCACCATTTTCATTAAACCAGTCTATTTTCAGATTAATAATAATACAGCTATAAAGATACCACTTTCAGATGTGACTGCTTGTATAAAAACTACTCTCCAAATTCCCAAAATAAACTCTTATGCTCTAAGTTAATCATTCAACCAAAAGGTGATTGTAACTGTCCTGTGACTAGTTCTTTTTAATATCAACGCACTAATTATTTAACAAAAATACACATTTCAAGTGTTGGAAATCCTTGACCATATCTTATTTAATTTTTAATTCATGTTTACTCTAGCATTTCTAATTGTATTATGGAAAAAGCAGGTATCAATGGTAAATACAAAGTTGTGTTTCTACAAAAAATTATCAAGTTAGCATCTAGCCTGAAGAAACGTATTAAACAATTCTTAAGAGTAGTCACATAAATATATCTTGTACCACATATAATCAAAAGACAAAACTAGTCCAAGATCCTAAAAGTTTCTATTTCAATCTGACATTCTCATTATTTCTCATTATACACCTAACTTCAAAATATTCTCCAAAGATTGTCTGTTTAGTGTAATTTTATTAAGATACTTATCACCCAAATAGTTCAGTTAAAAGAAAGGACACTAAGTGTATTCTACAGAAGATGTTTACACAGAATTTCTAGTTTAAAATTGTTTTTACAACTGTCCAAGTAATTTAGAAATAAATACACTGTCTAGCAGCCACTCTTGAAGAAATATTTTGGACTTTGCAATCTTCATTTAAAAACAAGAATATACACAGATTATTACACCAGCCAAGTTAAAAAGCTTCCTATTTATCCTTCACTAAAATACGGAGTGGGGAGGATCATCATCATTCTGAGGTACGTTTATCCAAGACAAAGAACCTCAAAAACACAACTACTGTACATCAGAACCCCAGTTATATGAATTTAAGACACAGGTGGTCTTCTCTGAAACCATTAGAACAATTTAGCCATGCAACATAAGGAAGTAAAATTCCACCCAAAAATGTCACTTTATGTTGAATGCAAATGTATCTTCTGAGTAACTTAAGGGAGAATTGCTGACGCTGTTCAAGTATTCCTTCACTCTGAGAAGTACTTCAGAATTGTTCTTTCTGTAGCCATCTCTTCATGAAATAATATTCCCCTTCCAATTTCATTTACTGGCTCATTCCTAGCTACAACACTGATCTTATTAATTTATTTAATAGTGTATCTCTTGCTTGTATTGTTTCCCTTCTTGTCCACTCACATCTCTTACTCTTCATCCTTAGAAAAGCCCAGATAAAACACCACTGTGCAGAAAGCAGTACTCTTAGACCACTTTCTTCAGGAAACTGTAATAGGCTATTTCTTCAAAGAGATTTCTCCAATAATCATGGAGAAGCATTTACATCAAACAAATAACTGTAACAGTGGAAAAACAAAGGAAAGCTAGTTCTGCATTTAACTTCTCATATCATCTAGTGAACTATCAGATGATGTTCTATGTGGGTCTATAATCACACTGACAGAACAAACATGGAAGCATATTTGAAGGAGATGAAATTGCAAGAGGATGACTTACATCAGCTGTCCTACTTATGACTTATGTACTCTACAAAGAAAAGTCCCCACGGGATTCAATTATCCAATACATAGCAATTTGATTAATTACCATTGTCATTAACTGATGCATGTTTTCTATGGCTGAAAAAGAACTTCAATAGTGTCCTCAACATATAAAGCTCACAAAAATGTAAAATCAAATAAGGAACACAAACCAGTAATGCTACAAATTCACAAAAAAAAGATAATTTGCAAAGTGGCAGACTACAAGAAGAACTTTCAGACCTTGAAGGATTTTGAGAAATACATAGAACCAAGGGAACTACGCCCTGAATTACTTCAAAAACACATTATTCAAAAAGTATATAAAAAGCAAAAAAGGAAAAAGACCCTCAGATCAAAGAAAAAACTGACAGATTCAATGCAGAAGATTAATGAGATGCCTTTCCTTGTACTACTCACTTTTACACTGTTATTTTCAGCCTATACTTATATACTTTTGTTTTTTGGACTTTTTAAAGCAAGTTCTGAAGTCAAAATAGCAAGTAATATCAAAATAATAAATTGATGCTAAAATATCAGTCATTAATAAAATTATTTAAGACAAAAATAATTCTTTAGATATCATTCTTACCTCTGTTACTTTGGGCTGAAGTCTTAAAACTTCAGGACTCATGCGTGGGATATCTATATGGATCTGATTAGACGAAAAGAATAATACTGTAAAAGAAAGTAACTGCACACTTTTTAAACAGCACAACAACTAAAGTTATGGTTTTATAGCATTATTTATAAAACCATTGTATCATTATTTTTGGAATAACATTGATTTACTGTATTTCAATACATATGGTAAATCTTTAAGTCATTGTGAAACTATCAATGAGATAAAATTAAAAACCACACACTTTCTTTTCATGTTTTAGGAAGCTTATATCACTTTCTGGCTTTTTTTCAAATTATAGTCATATTGGCACTACCTATTACCTTAATTATTAGTAAATATACACTACTGTTTCTGTAAAGTTATATTCAATTTGCATATTATATAGCAGTGTATATCATATACACTTCTTGCTACTAAAGATCAGGCTTGAAGCTGAAAGATCAATCTCAGCTTCTTTTGTACTAAGGAAGACTCAAGTAGGATTCAGTCTATACTTAGTGGTATACACTATTCATTTTAATATAAAACTTTTTCTTCCAAGTTATCTGCTTATCTGGGTGAGCAAGGAAGTTCAGCACCTCTATGTTTACTGCACATCATACACAGTACCAATTTGTTAAGCAGCAGTATGGACTCAGTAAGAAGCAGTCACTCCTGTACCATCCTCAATCATCTAGAGGAGGGGTTGAGTGAGGAAAGATTTGAAAACCCTACTGTTCTTTAATGGAAAACCATAGCATACCACATGGCACTGCCACATGTCATGACTAAAGCTGACATTAAAAGAAATCCACTATTTTGAATTTCAGACCAAAATACTTCACATTTTTGCTTCTCAAATGTAGGAAAACAATTGATTACAGAGCTGTCTACCGAGTAAGATTAAAGAAATAGTGAAAAACAGCAGAACTTAAAAAACTAATATCTGTGTTCTTAAGCATAAGTCTTGTTGGTAAAAGTCACTTTAACAGGCGTTCTACCTGTCTATAGGTATCCTGGTGATTTTCATCATTTCTGGAATCATAGTATTGTTCAACAAATGCAAAATACTCCTTGCGTTTTCTTTGTAAAGTGCTTTCTCTTCGGTCCACATTTGCAGGAAGATAGCCCTGAATAAAACAGTGAAGTGAAAAGATTAATATTACTCTTTGCCTTATAAAAAGAACCACTGGCAATTGATTACATGTGATAGGAAAGCTAAGAAAGCTGATGTAGTACCATGCAATCCTTCATGGATGCGAATAATCCTTTAGTAAATCTGTTTTCTAATCATTCCAACTGCTACAAAAGTTGAGATACTTACTAAAATCAGGTTTTGGGTTTCAAGTTTTTCCACCTTTAAAAACCAATTTCTCATCAAGAAGTCTAAAATTATGTTTACCTTTCAAAGAAAACAGTTCAAATAAATAAGCTGACTTAAATGCAATGCTAAATGACTTCATTAATTTCTGCATTCCTATATGGCCCTTATTGAAGCCAGTTTATTAAGTTTTAAAAAATGCATATTATCTTCAAGTAGGAATGATATACATTAGCAAATAGGTTTAAATTATGGTTAAACTTATAATAAAATAGCGTATTAATTCAAAAGCTTTAAAAATGCCCTGGCTACTTTATTTCACTGTTTCAAATGAGAAAAAAAAATATTCCAAGCTTTCATCTCAACAGGTTATTGAAAGTTTTTTCACAGAAAAAGACTCAAGAGATCCAGTGATTGGGCTCTGAGATTTAAAAGTATTAGCTATACATTCCCTTGGCTGTTTCCCAAAAGCAGTTTATAAATACTGCCTTATTTTCCATAAGGTATGAACATGCTAAGGAATCATGTCATATATGCAGAATTACACTTTGTTGCATTAAGTAGAGAATATAACTGAATGGTTCTTCATTTAACTTCATTAATATATCTCTGAACATTCCAATCTTTCAAAAAAAATTATCCATTCTCATTTTCTTGCTTTGTCCAGTTTGATCCCCATTTCTGGTGTTTCAGCCTACTTTTATTTAAAATCAAGCAGCTCATGCTTCTATTTTAGCATCTTATGACAGGAAATATAATGAATGGTATTAAAGGTTGAGTTTATATACAAGTACACCTCTTAGAAACATAATTATTCATGTTAACTGGCTATCAAAACATCTCCTGAGCATTCAGAAAAAGCTAATGTTTTCTTCTAAGCAGTTTAATCAAACAACACCAATATCCCATAAAACAAAACAAAAAAAAAAGCTAGTACAGATTTTACATTCATAGCAGTTCTGAAAAAAATAATTTATATACGAATCAACGTAACGATAGGTGACTTTGAAAGAGATCTGGACATTTAAGACAATATACAAAATTCTAATAATCTTACTATTCGCTAATCAAGTTAAAATATTTCTTGCCAATATTACAAAAGCTCTTCTTCCACAATAACAGCCATCACCACACTAATAGTAATTAGAAAACATACCAAGTTTACATCAGATTTAAGTTTCCTTAAAAATAATAATTCTCATCCTACCAAAAAAATCCTATACTAGCAGTGCAATACATATATATATCTACTTTTACAATGAGCCATAGCCTAATAAAATTCAGTTCATTTAACCACAAAACTAACATTCTTACATAGTCCTCAAAAACTACAGGAAAAAATTGAAGGGATAAACCTAACATGCTGAAATTGCTAACTGTACACACTGAGTATATAGGTTTCGTCACTCTCCTGCAACAATCCAACACTATAACCCATTTTTAGAACTTGCATTTCACACAACACTGAGGGAAAAATTAAAAATACATCAAGAGATTTTTGAAAATAAATCTATATGAAAACCATTTAAAATGTTATTCTATTTTTTTTTCTTAGCTTTAGACAGCAAGAGAAAAAGAACAAATTGTATTATATTACAGATACCTTAAGAGGCACTTGCTTTGACAAAACCCTATTGTTTAAGATGTACTGACTTGCATCTGGTTCCAGGTATTTTAAATCGCACCAGCTTAACTTTTGCCTCAAGACCCAGTCTGACATTTAATATCCTGTCCCAGTGTTTTCTATTAAGTTAAATATTGAATTCTGCCTCCCATTTATTCTCAACACTTGGAATTTTTTTTCCTCTAGGATATCTTAGCTCCATTAGAAAAGAATTCATTTGTGAGATCAAATGTGATTGTTCGAAGGATACCAATATTTTCTCAGCTAGTCTTTTTGCCATTATTCCATTTCAGAGACTGAAGTAATCTTTCAATTGGACATGTCTTGTTTCCTGTTCACTTTACAAATTGGGTTTTATTTTTAGAAGTTGGAAAGGCTTGCAACATATCATCAGGGAATAAATTGGTGGAGAATTTAATCCGTTTATTCATTAATTCCCTCCAAAGGCTTTAGCAACCGTATCTACAGTTCTGTTATCCAAAAGAGAAGTAAGCCTAAATAGTTCTGCTTGTTGTTTAGGTACAACATATCTAACATTTTTGCTGTATTTTACTCATATATATATATATTGCCGGAGGCATGCGCTGGTAACATCAACATCCCGCGCATTACGTGGATTTTCACATGCTTTCCCCTTGGAAATCTTTACTCAAACACATTATTACCATCATTAACCTTAAATTTTGAGTTACCTGTATTTTTATTTTTTTTACTTCTGAGTGTTTTGAAACAGGCATCCTAAATTTCAAGGGGGGGGAAATCCTCTTTTCATTATAAAAAAAAATCTTAGAAAAAACATAAACCTGTAGAAACAGAACAAAAATAAATTGTACACTGTATGTTTGATTTCCATTACAGTAGGATATTTTAATATCCACCATTAAGAAGCTACGTTTGCATTTAGCATTAGAAGGAACTAAGCTGCAAATTTAGTAGAACTCATCAGCACGACTCTTTCAGTCAGTGGAAATCAGTCTCAATCTGAAGTAAATACTTCACATTCCCTGCTGAAGCATTCTATAAAAAGAAAAGCTATTTAAGTCTACTCTCTGAAAAATTCAGTAGTGTTAAACTGCTGTGTGTATAACTCAGAATTTTAAACACTTCTTAAATGCATGAAGATTTGCTGATAAAGTGTCTTTCACAGCCTCTGGAGAGTAGACAGCATGAAATTTTTGCTTCTTTTTAATACAAACGTCTTCACAAGTTCTCCCAACCACACACAGACAAGCAATAGCTAAATGCACAGCCGCTTGCCACAAGTATTATAGTCGAAAAGACTGACATGAAAAATACTTATGAGGAATACCTCATATTTTTGCAGAAGAACCTTTTTAAATGTAGTGCAAACACCAAGATTTAAAAAATCCAATTCTATTTCACCAAACCAAGTGATTCCCAGGTTTCTGCGAGCTTGTCTCTGATGTCTGACCAAAACACCTCCATACGCTGTTCCACAGTATATCAGTCAACCTACTCCTGAGCTACTGCTGTTGCAAAATCCTCTAATCACCAGGCAAAGTTCACAGAGCTCAGCCAGCCAAAAAGCCACACTACAAAAAGTGATTAGCTTTTTAATTAGCTTTTCTCCCTGAGCTAACTCACAGATCTGACATCAGGAGAATCAATGTCACAAGGTAACTTGACCACAACTGTTTGGATTTGTCTTAAACTGCAACAAGAAAATAGGCTAGAAAAGCCCTAAGATCCCATCACAGCTTTTCCTGAGTACAGTGTTGATCCTTTCTTGTAGTTACTTGAATGTGAAGTCAGAATGAAGCCTTTGTAGGAGACTGACAGATTGTTTACTGTTTGCCTATTTTCAAGAAAACTTAAAGAACATACTTGTCTTTGAACTCTCCACCATTACATCAAAATTGGTTGAAAGAGACCACTTATCACATAAACCTTTCTTTCATAAGAAGCCAGTCTGAAAAATAGATATACAGCTGACATGATCTACTACTACTACTACTTCTCATTCTCCTCCTTTAGAAAAAACATAAACCTGTAGAAACAGAACAAAAATAAATTGTACACTGTATGTTTGATTTCCATTACAGTAGGATATTTTAATATCCACCATTAAGAAGCTACGTTTGCATTTAGCATTAGAAGGAACTAAGCTGCAAATTTAGTAGAACTCATCAGCACGACTCTTTCAGTCAGTGGAAATCAGTCTCAATCTGAAGTAAATACTTCACATTCCCTGCTGAAGCATTCTATAAAAAGAAAAGCTATTTAAGTCTACTCTCTGAAAAATTCAGTAGTGTTAAACTGCTGTGTGTATAACTCAGAATTTTAAACACTTCTTAAATGCATGAAGATTTGCTGATAAAGTGTCTTTCACAGCCTCTGGAGAGTAGACAGCATGAAATTTTTGCTTCTTTTTAATACAAACGTCTTCACAAGTTCTCCCAACCACACACAGACAAGCAATAGCTAAATGCACAGCCGCTTGCCACAAGTATTATAGTCGAAAAGACTGACATGAAAAATACTTATGAGGAATACCTCATATTTTTGCAGAAGAACCTTTTTAAATGTAGTGCAAACACCAAGATTTAAAAAATCCAATTCTATTTCACCAAACCAAGTGATTCCCAGGTTTCTGCGAGCTTGTCTCTGATGTCTGACCAAAACACCTCCATACGCTGTTCCACAGTATATCAGTCAACCTACTCCTGAGCTACTGCTGTTGCAAAATCCTCTAATCACCAGGCAAAGTTCACAGAGCTCAGCCAGCCAAAAAGCCACACTACAAAAAGTGATTAGCTTTTTAATTAGCTTTTCTCCCTGAGCTAACTCACAGATCTGACATCAGGAGAATCAATGTCACAAGGTAACTTGACCACAACTGTTTGGATTTGTCTTAAACTGCAACAAGAAAATAGGCTAGAAAAGCCCTAAGATCCCATCACAGCTTTTCCTGAGTACAGTGTTGATCCTTTCTTGTAGTTACTTGAATGTGAAGTCAGAATGAAGCCTTTGTAGGAGACTGACAGATTGTTTACTGTTTGCCTATTTTCAAGAAAACTTAAAGAACATACTTGTCTTTGAACTCTCCACCATTACATCAAAATTGGTTGAAAGAGACCACTTATCACATAAACCTTTCTTTCATAAGAAGCCAGTCTGAAAAATAGATATACAGCTGACATGATCTACTACTACTACTACTTCTCATTCTCCTCCTTTCAGTTTGAGAAATTAATATTGAAATTGAGCTCAAAATCCCATAACATTCATTACAATTCAGCAATATGACACAAGGTTTTCAAGTATCACAGATGGCTTACAACTCAAGCAAAACTGTTTGCAATGCTTGAAAAACTATTACTACTAAATGCAAAGGAACAAGGAAAAAAAAATACAACTTACTGAAAGAAGCTTCCATGCAATTGGACGAACCCGTTTGGGAATGCCAGACCAACTCAATTTCCGTAATTCTTCTATTAAAAGAGAAGTATTTAATGAGAAGTAAGAAAACTATGATCAGTTCATATGCACAGATATATTCAAATTTGCTCAACATTGTTTACAACAATGATGTCTTCTTATGAAGTCCAGTGAAATCAGAATCATATTGTAATTCTAAGGAATAAATAAAATACTGGATAGCTACTATCCATAGGGATACCTATGCTAATAGGTACCGAGTGTAACAAGGTAACTTTCTAGAACATTCTTAGCATTATGTTACAGACTTACAATGAGACGCAAGACATAGTTATTGTATCATATGCTTACACAAATCCTAACTAAATATGAGATTCGGTTACAGAAACAATGATACTTCAAGTCTGGAAGCTGGAATTGAATCCTATACCATATTCTTCACATTGTACTCCTTTCTCTTAAAGCTACTTCAGACACCACACATAGCTAAACCAGTATGTGGAACTTCACTTTTTTGGGGGAAGACTGTTTATTATGTGAAAAAAATATACAGAAAAATCATGGAAAACGTAAAAGACAAAAGATCATAGAAACAGAATAATTTTGTTTGGAAAAGGCCTTTAAGATCAGCAAGTCCAACTATTTACCTAACACGACCAAGTTCACCACTAAACCATGTCCCTAAGTACCACATCACCTGTCTTTTAAACACTTTCAGGAATGGTGACTCAACCACTTCCCTGGACAGCTTGGTTCCAGTGCCTGACAACCCTTTCAGTGACAAGTTTCTTCAATTTCCAATCTAAACCTCTCCTGGAACAACTTGGATACCATTTCCTCCTCTTGCTTGTTCCTTGAAGCAGAAACCAACACCCACCTTGCTATAACCTCTTTTCACATAGTTTTAGAAAGCATCTTCTCTCAGCCTCCTTTTCTCCAGGCTAAAGAATCTCAATTCCTTCAGCTGCTCCTCATATTACTTTTGACCTAGACCCTTCACCAGCTTCATTGCCCTTCTTCATTGTAACTGAAAGCTTAAGGGTCTCCCTAAGACCTAGTATTTGTATGAGGATATTTACTTTTCAATCAGAGTAGAAAATATCTTAAAACTGCAAAAATTTAAATTATCAACCTGCTAAAGAATACAAAACAACTGCATTCCACACTTCATTTTGTATTTACTTATTCTAATTAAATATATAGATTTTTTTATTAGCTACACATATTGCAGAAAATCTGGTCTATATCATATGCACATATCTTCCAAACTCTGCTTTGTCAAAAGATTTCAAAAACAATCTACACATCCCAAGAAAATGAAGTCATTAGAATAAGAACTTCAGTGGATACCACAATTGACTGACTTTGACCACTTACAAATGCATATTCTCTTTATTTCTTGTTAAGACAAGGATGCCTTTTAGCAACATCTGTCTTCATCCTTCCACACCCACCCTCCTTCTACTAGTCTGAACTAAATGTACACCTATAATACCAACAAATGCAAATTATCGTGTTATGTGTGGTTTGTTATCATATAGCAAACTTTCTCAATACATTTAAAACTATTTTCAACTAGGAATGAAAACAGTCCACTGAAACCCATTTTTTTTAATATGTAATATATTCCATGCAAAAGTAATCTTATTTTTAAAGAGTTGTGATGCTAAATTGTTAAACAAAAAAAAAAAAAAAATTGTAACTAGCAAATTAAGTTTCTCAAAGAAGCATCAAATAAAGCAAAAAGAAAGATCTAGTAATCTGGAGTTTGCAGTATAAAGGTACCTGATCATTAAGATGCCCTATTTTTACTTCAGATACATGCTAGCAAAAATGATACTTGCCAAATCCATTTTGCCTTAAAATGAGACATCATTAATACGAATTTAAATAAATCACAGCAAAAAAAAAATGTAGATGGATTAATTCATACTTCTATCTTTTTTCTTACAGAAAATACAGCAGGGAAAATTGGCAAGAGGCAGAAATGAAAGACTGTTATGGTCATATGTAGATGAGTGGTGATCACATCAATCATGACTATTCCAAAGAGACATACAGTACTGGTTATACACACTCAAAAAGTGATGCTTCCCCTCACACTCTGATCAACATGCCAAGGCAACAGCAGCTGCCCAGAGATCTCACTTAGATCAGTGACGCTACACCACTAAGGTCCAAGCGAAACAGTGACTAAGTGCTGCATTAGGATCAAAACACAGCAGAAACCCAGAAAAGCTGAGAAAAAGAACTGATATTAAGAAACAAGACACGAAAAGCTCATAATTATCAAAGTGAATGTGTCCATGAAGTCCTGAATCCAGTCTGAAGAAAAAGGATTACTTCCTTGACACCAATTAAACTTTCATTTATAAGCTTAAAATACTAATGAATATAACAAAAAAAAAAAAAAGTTTCATTAATATAAGTTTTTCTCTCCTACAGCATTTCAAACTCTTGACAAAAGCAAAAATACACTAGAGGAAAAATAAGGGGAAAAATACACTGACATGTTTTTTTTACTTAAAGTCATGGTTGTTCTGTTGTTCTTAAATTAACTAATTTACATCTTTCCAATAGAAGAAGAAATTGAAGGACATTAAGGAAACACCTTGTTAAAGTAAGAAAACACAATTTAGCAAAGGTTATTTTCTATCATTACAAATTGTACTTCGACATGTACTACTGTGTACATGTATGAAAACAGTAGAATATCTAGCTATTTAGGAATATCATACTGACTGTGACCAAAGACAAATTCAGTCATGTACCTTGGGCAATCCAAAGACTAGAATAACAAATACTAAAGGGAAAAAAAAAAAAAATCAAATATGGATTGATTTATTTGATTTCCAGTGTACAAAAGATTCCTCAGCCTTGTACTTCCTTGTACTTGTAGCCTATCCATCACGTCTACGACAACAGTAAGATTAAATATACCACAGAGTTAATAACATTGCAACTGATTACATCTTATTTTCTTTCTTACTTACAATCCATCACTATCCAACACAGTGATCATTTACAGCAAGTACTCTTTGTGCAAAAATTGTAATGCCAGTTCTTCCCCTCACTCTTTATTAACTGGCATAGGCAGATGACTGCCTTGCCAGCTCTTTAGTCTAGAAATAAAAACATACATTCTCAGGCAGAAACAAACTTAAGCTCATTTTACCAGTCCCAACTCAAAAACAAAAAACACAACAGAACTTCAGTCACGGAAACCCAGACTGGCAGACTGAGAGCCACCTTAGGGGCAGAGAGGATCCAGGTTTGGCAAAGCATTGACCTCTTTTCATTTCCCTTTCTTTAGGTGCAGAAGCACCTACTGAGGTACATGTAAAAGAGAAACAAAGATGACCACTGCTAAAAGAAAACCTTCGCCCCTTCTAACACTAATTTCCTAACCTCTGGAAATTGCAGATGAATCCTGTGTCCCTTTTCTCCATTTTACCACCCTTTTCTCCATTTTACCACCCTTTTCTCCAGACTTCCTTTTTCCTTATTTTCCTCCTTTGTGGCCATCATCCCTATGTCCTTCAGCTGTATCTGTATCACATCAACTGAGATTCCACACCTGTCTTCACTGATAGGTAATAGAATCCACTGTATAGTTAAGAAAATCTTAAAATTATTAACTAAAAAGTCACACCATCTTTAAAACAGAACTACAGTTTAAACAATAATTTATAATATTTTCAAAAGGCATATGTTCTGTTATTTTATCTCAGAACAAGCAGAGATCAACGCTCTCTTGCTTTCTTAATCATACCAAAGTGTAACAATGAATTGAACTATAACTTTTTGCATCAGATATTTAAAAGCTAACATATAAGAATGTGCATTAGAAAGGGAAAAAAATTACATATAGTCTAAATGTTAATTAACCTTCCATAACCTACAGCCCATAACAAGAACTACCACCAGAAAAATAAAATTCTATTCAGTTTCAGAAAGACAAGCTACTGTAGAAGATCAGTATATGACCAAACTACATTTAGATACACTAGAATCATTAAATACAAAATACATACTTTAATGCAGTTATTCTTGATGTCATGTTACCTCTCTATAGTTTGGGCTATTTTCTGTTGTTAACTTACAAACACCACACTGCAGATACGGATTCTAAAAACTAAGTATTGACAGCAAATTTTGCAGGTTTGTTTTCACATATCCTGCTGCAACAACTTCTAACAAAAAAAGCTTATCTTGAAGTTTTTGTTAAAAAAACACTTTTTACCTCTTAAGTATGAGGTAAATGATAAATTAATTTTGTAACTTAATTTGCAACTTTGCTGTCATGAACTATAGTAATTTAACCTATAAAACTTCAATTTTATTTGCATTTGTAAAGATTATTATTCTTTTATCATATTCTATTTTTAAAATATTTGTCCCACTCTAGAAAAGTTACCATATAAAGCAGCAGACATCACATGCTTTGGTAGTTTTCTTGTCCTATAATATAAAATCTATCTAGTTTTAACCAGTAGCTTGAAAGTTACTGAATAAAGCTGTTATTTCTATTACTTCACTCTATATTGTAAATTAAAAAATTTCTCACTTGACAACTTACTATAGAAATATACTATTTTTCCATAGCTTCTTGAGACACACATGAAGAGTATGCAACCTATTAACATTAGGCAAAGCAGTTATACTACATTGGAGTCTAACCAAAATATAAGCAGGAGCATCATATGCCTTCAAAAAACATTAAGCTCACAGTACTTCTGAACAGTAAATACACATTGGTGGAGGAAGCACAAAACCATGCTTATATACATAACTCCACGTAGCTAAGTTTTATCCCAATAAATTCCTCCTTGATTCTTCACCTCAAATAGTTGGTAGGCACTGAAAGAATATAAGATGAGCAAAAGATGAGTAAAATTAGAAAAAATACTATTCAGAGTTCACCGTGAACCGGAATCTCAAAGAAAAAATGAAAGCAGAACTTCTACAAATTATAACTACTGATTAAGAGAGAGGGTGAAGTTCAAATTGAACTAGATATCACAGCAAACAAATTTACACAGCACAACAAATT